GGAAGCTGCGCCAGATAATTACTTGAGTAACGGCAAAAGGAAAGAGGGATTGGTACACACAGAGAACGTTCGAGGGAAACCAGCGAACGGGAAGAGTGTTGCCGTCAAAGTCGTCGCCTTCTGTGTCCGGTGTCTGGGTGTTGCGACTGGGCTGAGTGGAGCGGGACACCTCCAGCTCTTCAACCAGGTCGTTCTTTTGCTGGAACAATGGACGCCCTTTGAGGGAATACGACCGCTCATGCTGGAAGGTCGGGAGAGAAACTGCGCCTGGGCGACGGGTGAGGAGCACTGGCGAGGACGGTGGGAAGAACGACGGCCGCAGGATCGAAAGAAATTCTTCGAGGGCTTCGGTTGGAAGACCGGACCTGAGACGTAAAAGAAGGAATCAGATTCGGAATGGATTGGATATGAACAGGAGGAACAATGAGACCAAGATAGCCACCGACCTCGGAGAAGAACGCTGGGAGGACGAGATATCCTTGTCAAAGGAGTCGGGGATCTTGCGGTCATCGATATCAGAGTTTTCGTCGGTGAACCTGACTCGCTCGAGATGATCTGGGGCAGAAAGCATTCGGGAACGGGTAAGGAGGGTATTAAGTCGGACAGGGCGTGGAGCCACGAGGACAGGGTTGTCGTTTGCGGTAAAAGGCATCTGAGATAATGGGAGATAGAGGTGGTCGGTATGAGCGAATATCGCGGCGAGCGCTGTGGGAGAATGAGAACAAGGCAAGGGGAGATCACTTGGAACGATTGCTGCTTGTTACTGTTTGCTTACAGCCTCTATGTCTGGCCCGGGACCTTTTGTCAAGTCAGCAGAGGTCAGCGGTGCTTTCTGCTCAATTCGTGCTCATTCCCTGTTCTTAGACCATATCATGATATGGCACGAAAACGAGTTTGTGCGGCTCTCCCTTCATGCCAGCGCACATTTGTCACCTGGCCCGTCTTCTCTCCCCAGTTACGGTATTCGTGTAAAGGAAATGTAGAAGCTTCATCGAGCCGCGATTCTATAAATCGAGAATTCTTTGCTTGCTTATCTCCAGCTCACAATGCACCCCTCCCGCTCTGAATCCCAGACCTTCGACGAAACAACTCCTCTATTGACTGATCTTGAGGCCGCTCAAAAACTAGCGCCGCTACCCAAAGCTCAGCTGGCAGCACTGTGCATTTCAAGGCTCACAGATCCTATCGCTTACACCCAGATTTTTCCGTGGATCAATGAATTTCTCCTCATCCTCCATGTCACAGACGATGTCTCGAAAATAGGCTTTTACTCCGGTTTGGTGGTAGGCGTCTCTTTATTCTCGGTTACACAACCTTAGTTTCCCCCCTGAGGAATCGACCTTTGCGGTTTCTCAAACGTTAACCAGCTATCATTGGGCGAAATTGAGCGGTAAGCGCATAATCCCCCTTCGCCGACGCCGACGAACCTGAACATGGCATCCAGATGTTGTTGGCCGCCGCCCAATCATCCTTACTGGTGCCGCCGGACTCGCGGTCGTCACTTTGCCCTTGGGTTTCTGTACGTCTCTGACCCAAATTATAATCCTTCGAGCGCTAGGCAACTATCCTCGTTTTTCTTCGAAAATCGTCCAGCTCAAGTATTTGACATGTAGCCGGTTTCTTGGCGGGAAATCTCGCAGTATATCATTCTATCCTATCGGAGATCACCCACCCCAGCCACGAGTCTATCGCATATCCTCTTTACGCGTTTACATGTTCGTTATCTCCTATTTGTGTGGAATATTCTCTCAAAGCAAGTTAGGGCCATTCGGCGCAACAATTGGTCCCCTTATAGGTGGTTCGTTTTCAAATCTTGGCACGAAATACCCAGAATATTGGGGTTATGATTTTATACTGGCCTATCCATATTTTATGCCCAACCTGGTCTGCTCTTTGCTTGTGACGGTGGGACTTTCGTTGGCCTACCTTTATTTGGAGGAGGTCTGTCAGCTTACTCCTTTAAATTAAGCGAGGGGCTTGAATCTCTTTCCAGACTTTACCCAGCAAGCGTAACGGCCCTTCCGCCGATAATGTGAAGCTGCAGTCTCCACCGCTGGGCGCAATGGACATTTTGGCAATCCCAATGATGCGAGCATTGACGGTGTCAGCATTCGCATTGGGCTTTATTGGCACCGCATTTGATGTCGTTTTTGTTCTTTTCTGCTATACGCCAATTGAAAGGGGCGGGCTGTCATTTTCGGCAAGTCCAATCGAAAAATCGTCTCGGCGATCACCTAACTAATTACATATATTCCACAGGTGAACCAGATCGGATACGCGCTCGCTATGAACGGCGCCATTTTAGCCATTTTCCAGCTCTTCTTTATGCCAACCTTGCTACGCACTTACCGAGCATCCGCTATCTACCACACATCGATGAGCTGCTGGCCGCTCACCTTCTTTCTCATTCCCTTCCTCAATCTCATCGTGCGCGCCGGCTACAACGAAGACAGCCGGCTCGTAGATCCCGTCATTAACGTCATAATGTGGATCGGGATTGCGTTGGTTTTGACGTGCTCTCGGATCGCTGCTTTGGCATATGCGTCTGCATCCGTTCATCTCCTTTCTATCCATATGCTTATCCCGACCTTCAGAACGAACATGATTCTAATCCGGAACCATGCACCCAGTCCATCATCCCTCGGCGCTTGTAATGGACTTGTGCAGGTGGCCATGTGTGTCTCTCGATGTTTTAGTCCTGCATTTATCAGGTAATGTCTATCCTGATCATCCGATTCGCGCGGAAACTCAATTACACCTCCAGTTCTGTCTTTGCGCTTTCTGTGGGCAACAACCTGTTGGGCGGTTATCCCATCTGGGTTGTCGTGATGCTGTCGGTTTGTCTAGTGGGTTGCTTTTTTTCACGAAAGATGGTGGCCATGGACAAGAAAGTAGAACACTGAACTCCGCCATCTCTGTCTTGATATAAACTGGCAAATAAGATCTAACGCCTCCTACTCTATAAGTCCAATAAACATATACGTATGGTAAGAATCGATCGCAGATTGCCATTGCCTTCGGAAGGAGAGTGGCTATGGGCTCCACGGGGACTTGGCTTGGCCCCCAACTCCGCCTGTGAGGAAAACCGAAGTCCCGTTCTCGTGAATGTAGAAACAGTCCTCGAGTCGTACGCCAACCTGCGAGAGCGGGTTACATACAGTTGATCGGTTGTTTACGGTGTGCGTACCTTGCCCACAATGTAGATCCCTAAAAGAGGTATTCAACCCGACATGATTTTAAAACTCGTTAAGACTAACCAGGCTCGTTAGAAAACGTGTGACCCGTCTCAAGAACGGACTGGCTGCCGCCATTCAAGTACGGGTCCTCGTGGACCTCTAGTCCGATGCCTACATTTAAAAAAATCAAGAAGACGACGAAAGTGAACTCCGAGGAAACACACCATGACCGAGGCGATGCGTAAAGTACTTGCTGTTATTCAACGAAGAGCGAGCTGCCTTGTCCACTTGGGCCGCTATTACACCCTCGTGGGCTGTACTCATCGCCGCAATCTGTGCAGAGTGGACATCATGCCATAACTTCAGATGCTCCTTGGGAATTTCGGAGCCCGTGAGAGCGACCGTCTGAAAGACGGACGTTGAGAGCCTCATTTATCCTGCGAGGACCTCACTTACTCGAGTGACATCCGATTGATAACCATGTAGACTCGCGGTGCAGTCGAACAGAGCAAAATCGTTCTTGCCCAACACGCGATCTGTCCCTGATCCGTGAGGAAGAGCGGCATTCTCTGTAAACAAGGCATGATTGGAAAGTGAGAACGGTCTCCGTAGCCTCTGACATCAAAGCGACTGCGGAGTCCCCCGAAGGTTGGCGACGGAATAAAACTACGCACCACCAAACAGCGTCAGGCAACCACCATCTTTCAACCCCGCTGCTGCGAGAGTAGCCCTCATCATGGCGCTGGCCATAGATTCGCGAATCCCAAAGTAGAGTTTTTCGCGGACAGCCCGGACGGACAGAATCGTTGCCTGCGCACAGGCATTTAGAAGACGGGGTCAATCATTCGCCAAGTCACAAACTTCGTTGACGCATTTAAGAATCTCGATTTCAGCAGGAGACTTGCGCTCCCGCAGCCGTTTAATTTCGTATGGTGCGGACGCGACGGCAGCTTTAGTGGCCGCTCGCAGACCATCGACAATAAAATTCCTGATAGATCCATCGACGAACACTGATCCTGGTGTTCCAGAGAGGATGGACATTGCATGCTCGTAGGGATTGGACTCTTCTGCCCATTCAATAAATGTAACATCTGCGAGGCGTGTGAGACGAGGATGCTTTGGAATGTGCAACTCACTGTCGGAGACAATAGGTAGCAGTTTTGCCCGTGGGGCTTCGAAAACGGGAGTTAGAATGGAGACCTTGGCCATGAAGTCGTTTCCAATTTGTTGCGGCGTGATGATAAGCAAAAGAGGGCGTTCACTGAGAGCCCAATCTGACTTGGAAAAATTCCCAAAGAACATAGAGCTCGCGCCGGGTTCGGCTATGTAAGCAGATGCGTTGAGCTCATTCAAGGTCTTGGCAAGAGAGTTCTGGCGAGCCTGGAATTCTGTTGCAGTGATAGGACCAAGGTGTTCGCAATGTTTAGAAATGACAGGGGTCGTGAAATCCCTTCCAAACCCAGTATTAAGATAGACGAGAGCAATGCACGCCACAACGAAGAGAGCGCCCTGAATGCGCGGTCAACATCGTCGACGAACAACGGAGAAAACTTGATCACTAGTTTGGAGAAACGAATGGAGATGAAGTCGGCAGTTTTAGCCCTTGGCTGATCTGGTCCGAGAATGCCCTTCATGAGAGCACTTTTGAAGAGGCGGCGAAGAGTCGCAAGAGTCGCTATCGCTTATCGCCAATTTGTCACCAATGATGCAGTCGGGCCGCCGCACGCGACGTGACTGATGGCGTTTTGGAAGAGCCGGCCTCACTTCGATTGAACCAATTCCACTATCCGCGATGTTATGCAATCACACAAAGGTTTTGTTATATCTTGACTAGTATATCGGTTAGTACACGCGCTTGTCACTTTGATTACATAAGCCATACGCGCGAAAGCTGGGTTCGACTCCCAGGTCGAGAGTTCTTTTTTTCTTCGAAAGAATCTCTGTTTCTCTTTTTTTGTCATGGACAACGCCATGACTCAGCATTCAATTGGAATGCCTGTGCCTGACGAGTACGGGGCATTGATGTTCAAAAAATACAAGGAAACCGAAGCATCCCATAAAATTCCCTGGGTTCCGTCCTTGTCGCCGTCAACAAGTTCGGTAGGCGAAGCTAACACGAATCATAGAGTTCCCGACAGTACAGCAAGTATCCAATTGAAACAAAGATCCATAAAATAGTACCGGGGATTCCTCGACGATGCTGCAGTATTAAATGCACGCTTCCTGTCAAAATAAGCACAACTCGGCGGCCGATTTCCCTAGGCAAGTCCTTCTGCATTTTCGATGTTCTGATTTTATCGAGGGCCGCTAATATTCCTCGGTGATCTAGCCAGAGCGCAGAAAAATATCCTCCTGAGACCGATCAAAACTGGTTCGGATGCATCCATTGATCCTGGTATTCGATCAACGATACTCCCCGTATGCGTCGATTCAAGTTTAACACTGCCATTCATCCACCGTATTGGCCTTTATTCTTCTGCTCTCCACCTCTATTTGAATGAATGAAAAAGTTGCTGGAGAGAAGAGGCGGGTTCTCGAAAGCCCATCAATATATTGCCCAAAATGGAATTCGGCGTTGAGTTCTTTGTACATGCTTGTACTTCTGATGTCCTAATCGCGACCACAGAGGTGTGCTCCGGACAATCGCTACAGTGTGCCCGATGATAATTCCGTTTCGATGAAGCTCATAAGTGACCAGAGCGTCAATTCTGTGTTCCAAAAGAGCTTCTTCGATTTTCTTCACCTGTTTTCCGGCCTCAGCTGGGTCGAGACCAAGGAAAGTCTTTTCCAGAACAGCAGCCGGGTAGAAATGAAACTGCGGGGAAATTTATCTCAATTGTAGCATAACTGATGCAAGAAATGCACTTACAGGTCCAAGGCCATCCTCTTGATTCTTTTTATAACCACCGATGACCTCCTCCGGTTCACTCTGAATCTTCTACGTGTAAGTCAAGATTTCGGCGCGGTAACCTGCTTCGGATGCCATCTAGAGCAAATTATCGATTGAAATGCGGCAGCCGATGAAAGAAAAGACCGCTCCGGTGCTGGAAAGCAATGGTTTGGCCTATAAATGCCAAGGTGGTCAGGACGTAGACGACCAGCAAAGCGGCAAGATCACCTGGCAGAGTGCCAAGAAATTAAGGGATAGAAGATTTACGGTGGCGATTGTGGGAATATCCTCCGCACGCCCTGGGACATATTCGCATTGAGCAATTGTCAAAGGTGCGAGTATATCTCCATCAACAGCGAGAAGATCGATGTCGAGTTCGCCAATAGCGGTGCGTATGTTTCAGCTGCAGCATCGACCACAGGCTGGTGGAGATCGGTTACAGTGATGTGTCGAAGGTCGAAAATTTCTGCAGCTGCAATGACATCGAGACCTGCACCAGTGCCAATGCTGCAGAATGCTTGTACTTTCTTCTCGGCGCGATGAGCAAGGAAAGCCGGAACAGCAACGCTAGCGACCCAATCTTTACGCGGATCGTGGACTTTAGGCAGGTACGCGACCTATGCGGGTGCTTGTCAGCCTGATCATGATCAGAGCGGGCTGCAGAGGCTACTCGCCGGAGTTGTGAATCGGGGTAAAACCTTTTGCGGTTCACCGGTGAGGAAGAAAGTTTCGAAATTCACATCGAGCTTGGAACTTGAGTTAGATTTACATCGTTCTCCTTGCGACAAAGTGCTAACCGTGGTCAAGTCCGAGTACAACTCGCCACTGGCAGTGGGTGGGGTCAAAGGGGCTTCAACAAGAGTTTTGGAGTCCTCGCAAGAGTCGTGACCGTTCTGGACCCCGTTGCGGAGCCCGTTTGCATCGCCATTCCTAAAACCATATGAACACATTTTAGTTCTTTTTAAATAGTGCGCACTCGGGAGAAAGGCTCAGTCGGTGTGGTCGTCTTGGAAGACGTTACAAAGTCCATTCCTAAAAAGTAGATAAATAGAGATGGGAGGAGGAAAATAGCCGGCCCACTGGTAAGACATTGGAGCAGAGAAGTTCAGTTGCAGTGTGTCGCTGGCAGATATATATACAGCCCTGGTGTCCAGTTTCGGACTGACATTCGACCAAAGGCGCGATGCATCAAGTTATAGGATAGGTCAGAGTGAAAGATCTTGGCACCGATTTTGACTCTCGGCGCATGCTTCGGGGTGTTCCGTCCTGAAAGGAGGAAGGCGGTCGGCGTATTGCTACACTATTTCTGTGAAGTGTCGACTATTCGTGGTTGACTCTAGACGAGTCGACACAGAAGCTAGGTTTGGGCTGGTGCTGGAAGAGCACCGGGTGCTGATTTAGACCATCTCGTACGACGGAAATGTAGCGCGGTATCTGTGCATATTTTGTATAGAAGATAGAATATTGCTACGTAGACGATGCGCATGCGGTTAAACGCAATTGGAAAATCACATGTGTCTAATTCCGAGACCGGGATATATACCGCCGAATTGGTTCTCTACGCTCTTTCACCCCAATCATAATGGCTACCTTCCTCGCTGAAGACGCCCTTCTCACGTTCCCTGCCCAGATACCCTACGACAAGCAGGGGGTCCCTGTTCCTGGCACAAAACGCCCGGGCCAGACTGGTATGTACCTCAACTTGGTCGCGCTCGGAAAACAGCCTGACACGTCGGATTAGCCCACTATATCAATGGTAAGCTCGCTCTCCGTATGCTGCTCGCGGTATCTCAATTTCAGGTCTATAGGCATGTGGGGGCTTCTCGACCCAGCAAAATATAGCATCCAGACTCTGCCGGACATCTTCCTCAGCGGTCTCGGGAAAGCAAGGGACAAACCATTTCTAGGCCACCGGCCGGTCCTATCCAAACAGCCTCTCAAGTTGGCAAACCACTATGAATGGCAGACATACGCCCAGGTCGACGTTCGGCGCCGCAACATCGGTAGTGCCCTCGTCCATCTATTCAAAACCGGCGTGCTTGGTGGCGGGAATCTTGAGACAGTGGGACTTTGGTCGATAAACAGACCCGGTACGATCTTCCAACAATAATCCTGCACACTGCTCATCGAATTGTGGGTAGAATGGCAAATTATCGACATTGCTCTTCAAAGCTACAAAAAAGTTGGCGTCAGCTTGTATGACACGCTCGGCAAGGATTCAGTTGGTAAGCCGCTATCTACATTTTTTGAACCTCGCTGAACCTCTCTATCAGAATACATGTACCTTGACACTTATTTTGTCCGCCCCATCTGACCACCACTTTCGCAGAATAAACCACGCCGATTTGACTGTCATCTTTGCGACCGGCGATCATTTACCGAGTTTATTGAAGATGGCCCCTCAAACCCCCAACCTCAAGATGATCGTCAGCATCGATGCTCTGTCTCCAGAAATGGGAAAAGTTTTCACGGAGTGGGGGCAGACACAAAACATCATAGTGAAGGACCTGTATGAAAGTACGTCCACTATACTTCCTTTCTGGACAGTCATTGACGGCGAAATAGTCGAGGCGTTGGGCCAGGCGAATTTCATCGAGCCCATCCGCTGTGTTCCTTCCGATATCGCGTCAATATGCTATACTTCCGTGAGCAAAGTCGCATTTATGGGGAACTCGTCTAATATGATCAACTAGGGTACCACCAATATGCCGAAGGGTACGTCGAATTGACGGCCAAGTGACGCTGCTGAATCGTTTGCGCCAGGTGTCGTTCTTTCACACCGGCAATTCTCCAGTGCCGTCGTTACCAACCTGTTCGGCCTCGAGCTGCCCGACGATTCTTCCACAATCTCATACCTTCCCTTGGCGCACATTTATGGGGTACTCTTTGAGCTCTCTTATTTATGAATCGTTATGCTGACAATGGGATGCAGCGCGTAAACGAGATGTGCAGTATCGCCACCGGCACAAAAATTGGGTTTTTCTCGGGAGACCCGCTTCGCCTGATCGAGGATTGCCAGATTCTCAAGCCTTCGTTCTTCCCGGGAGTCCCTCGCGTGCTGAACAGGATCTATCAAGCCGCAATGGCTGCTGCCGACGTGCCGGGCCTCAAGGGAAACCTCTTCAGGAAGGCTCTTCAGGTAAAAGTTGAGAAATTCCACGCCACTGGCGACAACACGCACTTTTTCTGGGATAAATTGGTCTTCAGAAAGGTGAGCATAATAACAACCAACAAGTCATTCGATTGCCTGACCCTACAACTACCAAGCTTCGTGCTGTTCTTGGTGGCAATGTACTTCTCATGTCAAGTGGATCAGCACCCATCAGCCGCGATGTTGTGGATTTCCTGAACGTCGCCTTTGGTTGCTACATCAGTGAAGGTACGTGGCTCTTTCTTCCATGAATTCAGTGAAGCTCAACTTTTTTTTTCAAGGGTAAGATACTTCCGTGCCAACGTGTAAGCTTTTCTCAAGATGTTTAGGTACGGGATGACGGAGACTTGTGCCGTTGCCACTAAAACCTGGAAGGCCGACCCGGGTGCCTGTGGTACCGTCGGGCCGCCACAGTCAGCTAATGAGATCAAGCTCGTGGACGTCCCAGCCATGGGCTACACCTCGGAAGACCTCCCGAATCCACGAGGTGAAATATGTGTCCGTGGTATCAACTGCTTCACCCAGTATTATAAAGGTTGGCATCTCCTCCCTTTGGGTAGATGCGTTAGGTGAATCCATTACAGATGAGAAAACTACGAAGGAGACCATCGACGAGGAAGGGTGGCTTCACACTGGGGACGTAGCAGAGATCGACTCATGCGGCAGGCTGAAGATCATCGATCGTGTCAAGGTCCGTATCGTCGTCTTTGCAAGCCGCGGCAGCCTCTAATTGAACACGCACTCCAGAACATCATGAAGCTCGCGCAGGGCGAATACGTCGCGCTCGAGAAGATTGAAAATACGTACACGACGTGCCCCGTCATTGCGCAAATCTATGTGCACGGCGACTCGCTGCAGTCCTTCCTTGTGGGCGT